TATATATATATATATATATATATATATATATATATATATATATATTCTTAAGCAATATCAAGAGCATCTGCTGAGAATAGAAGGAGTGGGAATTGAGCAAGGATAATTTCAAAAATGATGGAATTCAGAACAATCACCTGAAAACCAAATAAAACCAACATCATGGATTGTTTATTGTTAATTCACTGTGACCACTGAGGTTGAAGGGCATCAATATAAAAGGAACTGAAAGCAGATTTTACCTAGTGCTCCTGGGCTGGTAATGTCATTGTTATGTATAAAGAGCAGAATCCCAATGTAATGCATTTAAGTGGATATATGGTTGTAAATACTCGCCATTTTAGCAGAATCTTTTTTATTTATTTTTTCTTGCAGAAGCAAAACCATCCTTGACAGTTGCCCATACTTGTCAATACTGGCTCTTCACTGGTATCCTCAGCAAATCAATGGGCACAAGTTTGAAGGAAAGGAAGGGGATTATATTAGAATTCCAGAGAAGTTATTGGATGTCTCAGATGCACAAATAATGGCTGGGAAAAATTCATGTAAATTAGTCCAGTTTACAGAGTATAGCAGTCAGCAGTGGTTTATAACTGGTAACAATCTTCCTGCCCTGAAAAACAAGGTAATCTATCATTTTAAAAATTATGTGGTTAGAATCTCATGTTTTCTTTAGCAGACATCTGATCAGAATACATCTCTTTGATCAGAGTTTTGGCAGATACTATATGTGGTGAATTAATATAAGAAGTCTTTCATGTTCGTGAACCATTTATAGAATGTTTAGTTTCAAAATAGTTGGAAATGTTTTTTTCCTGTTTTATTGAGTTATTTTACTCAATATATGAGTTGTATAAGATACACACACACACACACACATATGGAAAGTAACAAAATATAGCTTTCTCTAATATCCAATTGTATACCTCACTCTTGAAAAAGTTGGCAAATTATAGTTAAAGTGAGTACTGTTAGCTGAATATCACTGAATGAATGAAGCAGAGGTAGAATGTGCATGATGGAAGACCAGTCAGATATCCTGCATTGATAAGTGAGCTCTATTAATACTGGAAGAAAACAGAGAGCTATTATGAAAATAAAATATAGTTTAATATGGGAAATTCATTCTTAACATTGATTCGAAAATGTCATTGAATTTTCTGTTCCTTTTGTTATTACAGGTATTGTCTTTGAGTGTGAAAGATCAAAGTTCACAACTCCTGACTAACAACAATGAAGTCCTCTACAGGATTTATGCTGCTGAGCCTAGAATTGTTCCTCGGACATCTCTCTGTCTCCTTTGGAATCAGGCTACAGCAAGGTACTTATTAACAACTTTTGAAGATTAGAGTTTAGTCCTTCCACATACCAGCACCATTAAACCTATTTTTTTAACTGGATATAGAGATGGCACTCAGTGACCTAACACCACGGAATAATCTCTACAATAAGACAGAGGAGCATAGGGAATGGTCTAGCATCGTTCAGATGGCAGGCTCAGCCAAGTGATTTAACTGTGTGTAGCACATTATTTATTTATTTATTATTGCTCCTTTTGTAGGTTGTGACATGAGTCCTGCTCAATTCAGATAACTTTTCTGAAGTCATTAGTTAATTTGCTGGAAAGGAAGGAAATTCATTATTTGTCTTCCTTTCACCTGGGCTTGTGGTTCAGGAGCTGACACTCTATGTTTAGAGGGAACAGCAGGATTTATAATTCTAGTCCAAACATGTTGGATATGTTTTAGGATTAAAGCCAGGTATAGGAATGGGAAGAAAAGCAATTATTTCTTTTCTCTTGACCTAAGGTCACAAGTTTCTGAGTAGTTACTATCACTCAGATCTCAATCAATGGTGCAGGGCCAGGCAATGCTGGCCGAGAAGGTCTAGGATTGTGTTTATTATTGAGTTTTAGCCATAAAAGCTAAAATTATAACTAAATTTAATGTTTGTTGGGCAACCGTCTGCTAAAACAGCAAAATTTTGGTTAATCTCTTTCTTTTTCTGTGAAAAAACATTTTGAAGTGAAATTCCTATGCCTGAAGGCATATCTCAAACCTAATGCAGATGGTCCCTGGCTTAAGATGGTTCAACTTAGTATTCTTCTATTTTAGAATAGAGCAGAAGTGATATAAATTCAGTAGAATTCATACTCAAATTTTGAATTTTGCTCTTTTTCCTTATTGATGGTATGTGGCATGATACTGTTTCATAATGCTGAGCTGCAACACTAAGCCACGGTTCCTGGTCAGCTGCATAATTATGAGGGTGCACTGTGTAGCTAAGCTATGATATGCAGGAGGTTGTATAGGTTAAGTGCAGTTGTAGCTTGTAATACTGTAGACTTATGATGGGTTTATCAGGAGTTAACCCCATCATATGTCAAGGAGCATCATTACATAGTCTGCAGTCCTCAATGTATAATTAGAAAGGAAGGTTTCAAGCCCAAATGAAAAGTTTCAAGCTCAAATCCACAGTTTAGGTTATGAAGTTATATGTCCTTAGAAAAGTAATAAACTCAAGATGCATTAAAAGGGAAGGGAGCATAAACCTGTAATCTCTGAGGAATGCAAAATGAGCCAAAATTTATAGAGTGAAGCATTTGAAGTACATTGGAAAACATATATAATTGGCTCCATTTTTTTTTTTTTTAAAAGGTGAGGAAGAAAAGCATACAAGTAAATTATGTGGTTCAAAATACCAGAACTTGTGAAATCATGTGTAAGGGCAAGAACTACACATATCATGGCTATGTTATCTGTTAGGATTTTAGAGTGATAGAGAAGAGTGGGTCTGTCTTACATTTATAGGCAAGGACCGGTATTACTGTCGGAAGACCAGCTTCTTTGGTACTGGGAATGCTGTGGCAGGTGTGGTTGTATTTAGACTGTTTCTTAAGGTGTCTGGTGGAATTTGTTAGCTCACATCCTGGACAAGATGTTCCCTTTGGTGTTCCTTCTTCAAAACGTGGTCTGCTTAGGTCTTGAGTAAAGAACACTTAAGTTCAGCAAGTAATTTTTTCTTCAAAAGACATTTCAACATCTTAAGTACTGACAAAAGAGGAATAGTGACTATTGTGTTTTGTTCCAGCTGGTTGTCTGACAGTCAGTTTTGCAAAGTGGTTGAGGACACTGCAGATTATGTGGAATGTGCCTGTTCACACATGTCCCTGTATGCTGCCTACGCCCAGATTGACAACTTGTCTTCATACAATGAAGCCTTTTTCTCTTCCGGATTTATATGTATATCAGGTCAGTGATAGTGCTTTCAAGTCAATAATTTTAAATAATTGCGAGAATGAAGGTCTGTTTTTTCATAGTTTTTTTCCCCAAAAAACAATGTCAATTGATATTTAGAAAAAATATTTACTACACTTATTTCTGAGTTTAAATAGTGTATATTCGGTTCACTTGTCTTTGTACTTTATACAAATGAAACCGTATAGTTCATTTTGGCTTTGACTTTTCCCATTAAATATTTTATCTGTGAGAACCATTCATGCTTTACATACGTGGATTGGTCATTTAAAAAATATTTTCCACATTTTTTATTGGTGCATCATAGTAGTACATGTTGATGGAGATATTTGTTGTTACATATTTGTTTGTGCACACAATTAAACAATATAACTTGACCAATATCACTCCCCAGCACTTCTTTCCTCCTTTCCTCCCTCCCTGCCACTCTATGGTTCTTTAATATATGCAAGATATGAATATAATTAATCATTTCCTGTGGTTTTCCTGTTTGTTTTATTCATTAATTCACACAATAGATATTTATGGAGTGCCACTTATACTAAAGACAGAGTAAAAAGTATAGGACTTAGTCCCAACTTCTAAGGAATATATAATGCAGTATGAGAAGCTAGAGAGTAAGAAAGGTTATAATTTGCTGGTTTAAAGGGCAGGTTCTGTGAGATAGAATGTCAGGATTATTTGAGATAATACAGACAAAGAATTTTGTATTTGCAATAGTTAAAAAAAAAAACAACAACCCTACCCATTGGTTGATTTGTATTCTACAGCTTAACCATTTTAAATATGGCAAAAACTGTATTAAAAAATCATCTATCATTATTACCCTATGTACATATAAAATTACACAACTGGTAGGATTCTACATCATGTATAACCAGAAGAATGTGAAATTATATTGCATTATATATGATGTGTCAAAGTACATACTGTTATGTATAACTAATTAAAAAAATAGAAATTATTTTAAAAGTCATCTATCACTTTCCATATCCAAACCCCATTTTGGGCATTAATAGGAACTTAAATTGTATTAGTACCTGTCAAACTAATCAATAGAATTATTCTCACCTACTATATTAATTATATGGTTGGAAGTTTGAGAATTCCTTACTGTATATTTCTGTCCCCCATCTTCAGTACTTCTGTGCCTTAATTCACTTTTTAAAGCTCCACAACTCTTTCTGTGAACAACATGTTTATTCTGCAGAGAATTAGGTATAGGGTAATGGTTTAAAATACAAAACCTGAAGCCAGAATGTCTGGTTTCAAATACTTGATCTTCCATTAGTGAGTGTGAAACCTTGAGTAAATTACTTACTTTCCGCATACCTCAATATCCCCCCGATGATATATGATTATAAATGATATCTACTTAATAAGGTGGGAAATATATTGAATCAGACATTTCTGATATTCTGCTTTGATGATGTTTTATCTGTAAATGTAATTGTCATTTAGTTTTTCTGGAGACAGAGTCAAGCAATTAATTACTGTTCTTAGTTCAGTTGCTAAAATATTTCCAATATAATTTGATTTTATATAGCTACAAATTTTCCTTAATGTATCTTAATTATGAACCTAATTTAGATTCAATAGCAAAAGTTAATAATTTCTTATTCTTTTATTTAGAGGGTTACTCCAGCCCTATTTTGTGTTTTATTTAGAGAAGATAAGGTCTCACTGAGTTGCTTAGCACCTTGCTGTTGCTGAGACTGACTTTGAACTCATGATCTTCCTGCCTCAGCCTCCTGAGCCACTGGGATTACAGGCATGCCCACACTCAGCTAGTAATTTCTTATTCTTAGTAATGTCTTTCATAAATTTTATAATTTCTTACTTAATAGATTCTTCTTTGTCCATTATAGTTCCAAAATAGGTAAAAAATTCCATTTTACTTTAATGCCAATCAATTTATAAAGCAAAGACATTTCATAGGCTGATGAAATGAAATTGAAAGGTACAATATTGAAATAAAAATCCTGTCATTTTACATTTCTCCATAGATATAAAATTCAAGTTTTTTTATGACCCACAAAATTTTCTTGTTGTGTTTCAAATATTGATCATCAAAGCAAAGAGTTTTTAAAATTAAACAGAGAAAGTCATCCTGATTTTATGGAAACTAGCAGGACTATAACATTTTTCCTGGGAGAATTGTTAATAAATCTTTCTTTTCTGTAGCTTACTCTAGAAAAGGCAATATAGATTTGCTGATGTATTTGACAATCAACAAACACCAAAGCATCAGTATCTGCATTTATTACTTTCAAGTTGGAATTAATTTCAGTAATTTGAAATTCTTGGTTTTCCCCCCTTGTCCATGACACATTGTTCTGTAATTTGCATGATCTGTCAATAATGACACTTAAAGTCCTGTCTTTGTGCTTTAATTTTAGCTTTGCAAAGGGGTTTGTGGGAGGAGAAAGCCTGTCCTCTGTTGGGCCCCAGGAACCAGAAAAGAGAATGTTATGTCTTATCTATGCTATAATTTGGGTCAGGTCCTATTGAATATCCCTCTAAATTTTATAGCAATTAACTAATTCTTTTTATGAAATATAGTAATATATAGTTAGAAAGGAATTTAACCTTTCCTTGTTTTAATCATAGTAGATCAAAATTAATCTATTTTGTAGCTCTATGTGAAAGCAGAACAACCAAAACAATCAATGTGTAAAGTAGGCACAGAAGCCAAAATGCTTAGCAATCCTCAGTTTAGAAAGATGAAAGAGGCATATACCAAGACTTAACCATTTACAAAATGCCAGAAACTTAAACTAGGGTCATTCCTTGAGGTGAGATGGATAGGAAGAGAGAATGAGAAAACGAGTGCTGTGCGCCTTGAAATATAGCTTTATGGAACTTAGCCACAAAACAACATGGAAGAAATATAACTTAAAGCCATCTTCCTATGATTATGCAATATGTTTTCATGTAATTATTCAGGAACTTCAGTGTGGTTTGGGCACACATTACTATTTGGATGATAATGTCAAAGAAACCTCCTTCATTGTGCCCTGCTCTGATAGTATACTATCAAAGACAGCCTTTGGATTGTGTGTGTCCTGATTTTAACATAAGCCCCATCCATAGTCTTATATTCTCAAAGAGAACCTGCAGTATTCCATATTCCATGTTTTAACATCAGTGAATATGTGAGGTGATTTTGATGTGCTTGCAGTAAGTCTCCCATGTTTACAGTGGTTTTAAGCAGAGGCAGAGCTGGGCCAGGCCTCATATGTATTTAACTTTTATTTTGTTCTCTTAAGGTAGAGAAATCCTTTAATGCAAACAAAAGCTTTCCTTTTTAATTGACTTAACTTTTACTTAACTTTTTATAGGCTACTAAATATATTATGCTATATATAAATGCCAACACAGTTTCAAGTTCACTGCAAATAACTGTTTATAAAATGCTAAATATAAGGCTTATAGGTTAAGTAAATTAACACAACCCAAAATCCTTTGAAGCAACATAATTTTTTTTGTTCAGTGCTTGTAAAAACTGCAAGAATATTCAGATTGCACTTTTTGTTTTACAAACTAAGATTCTAAAAGTTTTTCCAAAAGAAAAAAAAATAACATTGCCAAATGTCACATATTTACTTCAAAATTGTTTTTAAAAATAAGATAAAATCTTCTAAAATTTTCTATCAAGTTCTTACAGAAACATCAAATTGATGACCTAAAGTAGATATTATAAATGTGATAAGTAAATTATCAAAACATTTTCATTCTATTAAATGGATAAAAAATATGCTTAGAATAGAAAAATAATATTCTTAAATAGAAAAAAATATGTTTAGTAAAAAAAGACTACAGTTGAAGAAGTCAGAGAACATAGTTTTAATTCTGACATGACATACAGATGTTTGGTTGTTACATTTGTATAGGGTATTGTTTAGCATGACTTTGGCTGCAAATAATAGAAAACAACTAAAAGGTTAAAACAGATTTAAGGTTCCTGGTTTAATACCTTGATGGTGTCATTAGGAGCCCAGCCTCTTCTCATATTTCTGTTTTGCTTTCCCCAAAAACGTTTTTTTTCCCCTGAGCCTTGTCCCTACATGGTCTTGAGTTGGTTGCAGTAATGTAAGCATCACACTAACAATGTCCAGGCGTACCAACGGAGAAGCACTGTTTTAAAAGCAGTGAGATCTTCCCTGAAAACCACCCACAGTGTTTTCCTCTACATCTCTTTGACTGGAATTGTGTTGTGTCAACTTTCATAAGCCAGTCTTTTTATGGAGGAAAACACAGATAGATTTGTAGTGAAACAAGCTCTCAGAGAGCAGTGAGTATCTTTTTGAACATTGCCCAACACAATCACTGACATACACTAGTTTTAACAGATATTTGTTAAATGAATAAATAAATATACCTTTTAATTTTAATATTATAATTTTTAATACTTTTTTCTGAAATAGTACAAATTCATATTCAAAATAGTTTAACATAGTACTCTCCCTTAGAGCTTTCTGTGATGGGTGAAAATGTTTTATACTGTCCAATACGGTAGCTCCTAGCTACAAGTTGTTGATGAGCCCTTGAAATATGGCTAACACAACTGAGAAGCTGAGTTTTTAAAATTTTTCATGAAAATTTAAATTTAAATAGTCATTTGTGACTAGTGGCTATTGTGTTGAACAGCACAGGTTTAACACCCTGATGATCTGGAGGCGGGTCTCCTTGACAACCTCATCCCTCTGGAATAAATCCTTTCCCTAATACACAGATGTATATATTCCATGGTGCTTCATACAATGTCCCTATTAGAAATCTTTTCAGGGTTGACTATTTCCTTTTCCAGACCTTAGCTTATTGGTAGCAGCAACAAAAGGCATTGTATGCATGGAAGAATTGCAGAAATATGGGAATCAGTAGATATGAGTAACAAAAAGTAGAAAGCATGACAGGTACTTGCCAGCATTAAGTGGGGGAAAGAACAACTAACCTAAAAAGCTGATAGCTTATTTAACAATAAAATAATTAGAATTGGGCTGTGTTTGAATTATTTTTAGAGAATGTCAAAATTCATAAATTGATAGATTAGTAGATGATAAATATTTTAACTAAAAATCTGTGGCAAAATATACTAATATTTATCATGTGATGGAATAAACTTCTGTTAAATGAAAAGTGTACCCCTTTTGTTAATGATGCTCAAGAACAGAGATGTTTTCTGGATATGCCAGTTTATATGCAAATATTAATATATTTATATACATGAAAACATTCAAATATTATATAGATAAATAAAATATTAAGTCAAGTGTGATAACAGGAAAAGACTAAAGGTAGTCTCTTGAGCTTTTCTTACCTAAATCAAACATTATCTATCTTATCATTAAGGGTAATTTATAATTTACCCTTATTAAGGTTAATTTATCTTCCTTCTCAATTTTGAATCATGCAGCAAAGTCATTTGTGTCAAAGAACTAATTAAATGTTCTTTTCCAAATGAATTGGAATATACTGCTAGGAAAAAAAAAATAAAGGAAAATTAGTGAGTTGCTTGTTTTTCTATATAATTGTGAAGAGATCAATTTTTAAAACTTGTAAAGAGTAAACCTTTAGAAGTACCTGGAGTCGTTATACTTTATTTTGTCTAAAAAGTTTTATCCATGTTTATAACATTTTATACATTGTGATTTGCCTAATTATATTAAGGAATTTTAACAAAAAATTATATGTTTAAAAAAATAACTTATAAATTTAAAGTTTATATGCTAAATGTAGTTATTCAACTTCAGGTAAGAAAGTAAATATGTTATTTGCTTAAATTAGTATGCTAGTATATAGTGTTTTAGAAGCTTAAATTACTATATGGTTTTTAGAAACCTGGTATCTAAAGTATTTATTTTTTAAAACCTTATGTAGTTAATATTCTGCCCAATGACAGCTAAGTTTCCTTAGTCTAGGACACAGGCTGCTTAAGGTTTGTAACAATATTCTTCTCTCCTAAATAAATAATGAAGCAAATAATCATGACACGTTACAGTTAAGGCTAATAGAATCTAGCCTGATTTCCTGCCCCTGACTTTGGAGCTTGGTCTACCACCAGGTGTCATGTTAGCATTTTAATTGAAGCTCAGGATACTTGGTTAAACATTACTGAGCTTGTCCTATTTAATCCACTAAATTTCTATCATGAAAAGGGAATATGATGAGGAGCCAAATTTTTAGACAAAAAGTCTTGACTAATACAGAAACTTCCTTCTGGTGGGGCTCTTTGTCTACCTTACTGAAATATTTTTACCTTATTGAAATATAAAAGTATATGGGAATATTTCCCCAAAAGGAGATCTGAGAGGCATTTTTGAACATAAAATGTGTCACAAGACCCTATGTGGGCATTTTGCAGATGCCCAGTCCATTTGTACTAACATGTGATATACTCTGAAAGCTTGCTCATATAGCTTCAGAGAAGATAATGGAAGAAAACAAAATGTTAAATCAGAGATCTGTTTGCCAAGGAAGCATTAACATAATTAAGTGAAGTGCTCCATGCAAAGTATGTTGCAAAACACCATAGGAATGCCAATTGTTGCAATGCTTCAGTAATTCTTAGACAAAATAATCCTTTTGAGGACAAGGCTGGGGTAAAAGATTTAAGTGAAAAGCACATGGTTACCATAGGCAGCACATTTAAATTTTAAAAGGCAGAAAATATTCTTAAAATATGTATGTATTCTGCTTTTTAAATCTAGCATTAAAAGAAAAATATGTGTCAACCTGCTGACAGTGGACATCATGAAGATATACTCAGCCCCCTAAAACCTGACCCCTTGCCTCATTTGAATAGCTTCTCCCAATAAAAGGGGTCAGCACGTTCTCTCTCTCTCTCTCTCTCTCTCTCTCTCTCTCTCTCTCTTTTCCTGTGGACCCTTAAGGTCAGAGGAGCCGTCACAGCGACCCCAATGAAAAAGGAAAAAAAAAATATGAGAATTTCAAAGATTGTGGATTAGTGCTGAAGTTCTAATCATCCTCTTGAAATAGTATAAATAGGTCAATTCAAGTAGACTTAGAGATAATAAGAATAATTTTCTTCATACCACTTAGAAATTTAAATCTTTAAGGTAAAGTTCATCCTGGGAATAGAACACATTTTTCCCCCTGGTTTTGGCATGCAATAGTGTAAAGTTGACTTTAAAGTTCATAATTACCTCTGGTGCAATTATATAACTGTTTCTAGTAGATTAAAAAAAAAAAAAAAAAAGGTGGAGGGTAATTGCCAAACCTGAGGTTTGGTAGTATCCTTCACAATTTTATGCCTGAAAATCACCTCTCTAAATATCTCTATTTAGCCAAGCCACCCATTCTTAGAAAAAAGATTGTAATTTGATTACTTTTTCTTAAACAGTAAAACTTGATGAATTTAAACATAGAAAACTAAATCCTTATTAAAATTAATATGCTTAATTCATTATTTCATCAGGGATGCAAACATGTAGATATTTGAAAATTAAAGTCATTCTTTGGGCTTAATTGATATATACAAAGAATTTGTACATCAGGTAAAATGTATTTTTTCCCAGGGGTGATGTGTTTTGCTATGAGCCATAGTCAGATGATAGGCCTATGTGCTTAACTGTCCCAAAGATTTCCACTGTGATACTGTTTGCCTCTTCATGGATTACAAAACCACACATGGCCTCTTTTGTTTCCTCAGGTCTTTGCTTGGTGGTTCTTTCCCACATCTTCTGTGCCAGGTACTCCATGTTTGCAGCTAAACTTCTGACTCACATGATGGCAGCCAGCTTAGGTACACAGGTAGGAGAGCTCTGGGATGTCTGATTTATATGAGGTGTATGTTTCTTCTGTAATCCTTGGAGTGACTAAATACAGTGAATCTCGACTGAGTTGAAATAAGCTCGTTTAGTTTTGCAGTAGAAGAGGATGAGGAAGGAGAGCAATATAAGGAAATGAGAATATCAGGCCTAGAATGTATATTTTGTGAACTTCCCTCAAGGAGAAGTATCTTGATGTCACCTACAAGAAAAATGACAAACATCCTATTGTCAGTCAGTATATTGGTAACTTATATATGTTAATATGAACATATGTTGTTTAATCTGGTGGAATAAAACATAACTCTGTTATAAATTCTTCACCTAGAGAGTGTTAAGATGATATGTACTGGGACTAGGGGTATAACTCAGCAGTAGACCATGCTTGCCATGTACACGGTTCTAGCTTTAATCCCCAGCACCATAAAATAATAAACAAGATGATATACACTTTAAAACATCTGCATAAATAAATATTATTTCATTTGACCTAAGAGAATACAGTTTGAAAAAACAAACTCATTTGAAAAATTGTTCCATTTCTCAAATTATTCATTGTTGTGCAATTTAAAGCATCAGATTGAAAGCACAGTTGAAGACAGAGAAGGCAGATCAAAAGATGAAATTAAATTCCTTTTCTATCCTTGAGTTACAGTCTAGGAAGTATATGTACATGTAAATAACTATAATTCAGTGTGATGTGGGAACACAGCTATTTGCAAACTACTCTGTGAATATCATGGATAAGGACTTAATCCATTCTGTGAAGGTCAAGACATCCACACAGGAGATGATATTTGAATTAGACTCAAATGAGTAACCAACTCATTCACACTGATAAGGGGAAAGAAAGGCATAGACATTTATACAGACAAAGGGAAATAAACATAATCATTTGTATGAATCTAGCAGGTAAGAATATGCTATGTAACATTCTTACTGAGAGAACTATTCAATAGTATATTTATTTATATATCAATACTATTTTATAAAATTAGGAACTCTCCTTGTCTGGATGGAGGACACTTCTAGAAGACAGACAAGGCTCTGCTTTTTGACTGGGTGCTGGTTATACACAAGGCATCCAGTTTAGGGAAATGTGTTGTACTATTTACTGACAATTTGCTTACTGGTTTTTAGGATGCTAAAGTGTACTTTACTGAACTCTGAACAGAGCCTGAAATTTGAAATGGAAAGTTATCTGGTACGTTGGCATTCTGTTGCCTTTTTGGATCCAATGACCTATTAGTTTCATAACTTCATATTTCAGAGAACAATCAAGTGCTAGATTCCAAGTACAGGGTCCCAGATTGTGTTTTTTAACATACCTGTGAACTACAGAAGATAGCAGCTAGGGGGCTTTTATTGAATCTGACAAGGCTATTTATATTACCTCAGTAGCCTGTCTTAGCTGTCTGATCTTGCCTTCCTTCTTGGATGTAGGATCTTAGAAAACCCGCCTTCCATAATTAGAGTTTACTTGGCCTGTATTCACCACCCATTTTGGTGATGTTTTGGCAGCAGAATTTGTACAAGATTTAATTATAGCACTGCAGTATTATAGAAAATTCTTCGGTGTTCTAGCAGACAAATTTGCTCATGTTTAGGGATGTGAAAGACCAGAGTTTATGTGTTGAGGCATTGCCTTCCAATTCACATTGTACTTAGAACTGATTTTAGAGAAAATAATTAGTTGAATGCAGATTTTGAGCATATTTTTAGAATAGACAAAGCAATGTGACATGAAAAAATCATATAATGTATGACTAGTGTTATTAAATAATTAAAAAATAATTTTCCTATTTTGTTTCTGGGAAATATTGGTATGTGATTGATAGAAAGTATTGTTTTCTTAGCATGCTTTACTTATCTCCTCTGATTTTTAAAAATACCCTCAAAGTTAAAAAGAATAATTATCTCCCTTAAAATTTTTTTATCTAAGGCTTTTTAAAAAAATCTTAGACCCTCCAAAATAAGAAATGAAGTTGATTGCAGGAACTTAGGCTCCACTCTTTCTAATGTTAAAGTTGTTCACAACTCCAGTTATAGTATCTTTCCAACAGGGATGTATAGTTTCAGCCTTAGAACTCTCATTTGGGACCCTACATCAGAGTTATGTCAATAGCCTTAGAGTTTAAATTTACTGTAGAGAAGTATTCAAAAATACAGACTTGGTCTGTGGTTCTTGGTAAAAATCTTATGAAGCTGACTTCAAGTGTCAGAGTTGCACCTATACCCTGTGGACAGGTCTGCCAAGATCATTTGGCTTCAAATATTTATTGCTGACCTAGGAATAAGCAGAATGGGTTTTGTGAGAAAGGAAAGAATGTAAATGTGGTCATCCTTGTCTTCCTTTTAGAACAATGTGGTACGGTCTGTCCATGAAACAGGCAGAAAAATATGCTTAGGTCTGGCTCTACACTTCTAGAATTTTATAGAATATTATATACATTATTAACTATATGTATTGTATGTTCATCTATACCTGGAGAAGAGTAGGTAATAATTCAAAGATTATGCTTGTTTTAAAAATCAAAAGATAATGCTTAACTCAAGTTTGTCATTTTAACACCTTTGAGTATCATTGACTAGAAAACACCAGCAGGTGGCAGTAGAAGTTTTTGTTTTGTTTTTGTGTTTGTTTTGTTTTCTGCAAATCTGATCAGTTTTTGACTTTATCAAAAACTGGCAGCACTGGGGTTCAGTATAAACTCAAGAGTACTCTCATAATATTACTTTGGCGGGGCTGAAGGATGTTTATCTGCTGCATAGCAAACACATTTATGGTTTCCTTCCTGTCATTTTGTCCCCTTGATTCAGAAGTGAACTAGATGCATTAATCAATGCAGTAATGTAAGAAAGCTTGTACAATATTGATTTTGATATACCTTGATACCACTTACCATCCGTATTTTAATTCAAAGGAATAAAATTATTTTCATCATTTTATTTATGATGTGATGCTCATTAAGAAGTATGCTATTGATACAGAAAAATGTGTTTATTGGAGAATGACACTGTTAGAACTTGTGAAATTAGGAATATATTACCATTAGTTTATCAAAAATAGGTACTTTTTTTCAATGCCAAGTCATGTTTTTCTAAAGGAAATTTGTTTTCTTTCTAAAGGAAAATTGTCAAATAGCAAAAAATTGTGGGACAATTTACTTCCAAGTATGATGTGAACAATATCAAACAAACTTCCATGGCATTGGGTGATATTTCTGGGGAAAACATCTAATTATATCTTTGGGGTTTTTTGTCTTAGAATCACATGCCAACCCATGTGTCCCCTGATAAGGCTGGTAAACAACTAGGGCAAAGGACAAGTTTGCAGATCAGGGTTCTCAGTTCTGGGGGTTCTATCAGGAAAAGCAATTCTCCAAATCTAAAAAAAGAAATGAAGTTTCCTCATAAAAAACATGATGATAAGATAGAACTATATTTACTTTGATTAATAATACTTAAAAGTGGGGAATGTTTGTTTTTCTCTCTCTGTTTGGCTTAAGCACATTTTCTGAAACTGATTACTAAATTTGTCTAGCAAAAAAACTTATGTAAGTAAATATTATTACATTTACTGACAAGCCTGTACAGTGTCTGAACTTAGATGTCACTGTGAATGTTTGACAATTTGAAATAATTTTAATTTTTTGGCAGCAATAGGTATGCAAGAATTTCAGACACAAAGACCCTCTCCTCAAAAAGGAAGAGAATTGCTCTAAGATTCATAGGACTGGCTGGAGTTGTGGCTCAGTGGTAGAGCACTTGCCTAGCATGTGTGAAGCACTGGGTTTGATTCTCTCAGCTCCACATATAAATAAATGAATAAAATAAAGGTTCATTAACATCTAAAAAAATATTTTAAAAAAAGATTCATAGGACTATCCTCTGGAATTTAACAAAACTTAAGCTTTCAATTTTTCCTTTGTCTAGTTTCTCATTCTGCAACATTTGGGGATGTTGTTTTGTAATGGCCTGTGTCTCAGGAAAGATCCTGCTCAGACACCCCTGCTAGAAGATTCTCCTTTATTCGGGAGCTATGTCATTCTAGCTTTGGGAATCTAGCACCTGGGAATCTTTGAGAATCATTGACTGAAGCCAGAAGCCCTGTGTGACCTCCCATATGCCAGCTCCTTCTGGATGCCAGGGACTTGGTTTCTTCCCAAGCAGCTTACGCTCTTTTGTTGACATTGATAACTCAAAAAAGCCATTGTGTGGGGTTGGAGTTGTGGCTCAGTGGTAGAGTGCTTGGCTAGCAGGTGTGAGACACTGGGTTCAATTCTCAGTACCACAAATAAATAAATTAATGGATAAAATAAAGGTCTATTGACAATTTTAAAAATATTTAACAAAAAACATTGTGTGCTTAGGGCCTGAAAACAAGTATCTGACTAGCTTATTTTTATCAATTGAAGTAGAGCAACAGGAAAGACTATATAATGTTCTTTAGTCAGAAGAGATTTGTCCTTCGTTAAAAGTTTTGGTTACTTAATTATTAACCACACTATCCTTTGTTATTTCTACTTTTGCCTCTGAAAAAGAAAAGTAATTAAGAGCTTAAGTACTAGTATCAACATTAGATCTTCTCTTTGAAGATGGGAACCAGGGAAGCAAATTCATTATTCAATAGAAAATATCTGTATGTTAGTGCAGATATAAATGGATCAAGGAAGTATTTTCTTTTTTATTATTCTTTTGTGTGTGTCTTTTTTTTTTCTTTATTAGCTACACATGACAGTACAACCATCTTGACAATTCATACATTTTGAATCAAATGGGGTATAATTTCTCATTTTTCTGATTGTACAGGTTGCAGAATCACATTGATCATACAGTCACGTATATACATACAACAATAATAATGTCTATTTTATTCTGCTGCCCTTCCTAAGCCCCCTCCCCCTCCCCTCCCCTCCCCTCCCATCACTTCTCTCTACCCAATCTAATATGACACACTTTTTTTTTCTCCTCACAACATCA